AATGCTCTGCCGGGCGAGGGGGATCCTAATGCTGCAGGCGTTGCCCAGAGCAACGACAAGATGCTCTCCGTTCAGAAGAACGACGAGAACAGGAGCCTGAAGACCAACCGGCTCTTCCCGACCCCGAACAAGCCAGACCCGATGCCGCAGAACTTGGCGTTCCTCTTCACCAAGATCACGCCGGACCGGGGTGCTGCACTTGATACTAGTTTTGGTTCACTAGCTTCAAGTACATTGTACAAGAAGAAGATTGGGATGTGTCCGTAAATTTGGCACACTTCGGCATGGTGCCATTGGTGACCCCCCAAACAAGTCGCCTTTTTCAGAGCAGTTTTTTTAGGAGCAGATGATCTACATGCCGTTTGTCATAGTTGGGTAACGTTTTACATGTTTATGAGTAGTAAAATTTTAAACTTAGGAAGCAAGAGCAGTTCATATTTTCAATGCTATCCCAACGGACTAGGTGGAATGTCCTTACCGCAATTTTCTTCACTCAAGTGCTCATGGTGATCGGCTACTGTGCAGCCCTGGCTACCTTCCCGGACTACTGGTGGACCTGCACGCTGTGCTTCGGCCTCCCGTTCTCGTACATCGCCATCCAGAACATCTACATTGATCACGATGTGATGCATGGCGCCACTTTCCCGGTTTACGAGTGGCAGCGCTTCTTGACACATCCATTCGCCGATTTTTTTAGCCTTCCGTGGGAGGAATTCGTGCTGGAGCACAACAGGCATCATGCCTCAACTGTGGACTTGCTGATCCAGGGCGAGTTCGGCTGGGACCCTGAGGAGTTCCATTACGCCCTCCAGCAGTGGGCCGGGCCATGGAGCTCCAACTGGTACAAGTACCTGCTCACCGTTCCCTTCATCCCTGTGATCCATTTCTTCGGTCTGAACGATACCGGCTCTCTGTTTGCCTTGGAGTGGTGGATGCACTTCCCCGACGAGGGTGCAGGTGGCAAGTGCAACAAGGAGCTTCCGAGCTTGATTGACTAGTTAAGTTTTTGGTACTCGTTTTGATAGTTCTGAGAAAGGCGAGGACATGGCGGCGGTGCACGGAGCATGTTGCTGGCTTCCACGTAATTGTAGAGTCTCTTCACGCCGAGGTTCTGGAGCAAGTGGATTCCACGCCGCCTCAAGCACAATGCCTTCGTGCTCTCGCTGTGGGCGTGTGTGTGGCTTCTCGGCACCTACCCTCTGGGACGTCCTCTGAGCGAGGGCTGGCGGTTCATGTTCACTGTGTCCGTCTTCGCTCGCATCGGCTACTCCGCGGCCTGGATGTTCATCACCAACTTCACTCATAGCTTCTAGGCGGCCTCAATTTGAGATCGTATTGAGTTTCCCGTTTGGTCTTAGCTAAAGCCCAAAACACTAAATGCTGTGCCAGGTTAAGTCCGACTGAAACCCTTAAACCTTGAATCCAGATTACTCTTTGAGCATCCGTGGCCAATATGGAAGCCTGAATGATTACCAACACGATTTGAAAGGCTTCCTTGTTATCAACATACCATAACTTCTCTGTTCACGATGCCCCCGATGTTAAACCCCAGACTCCTTAAGCCCTAAACTGTAAAGGTTGTACAGCCCAGGCTTGCCTTGGAACGAGTTCCTGGCACAGGATCCGGGCCGCACCTGGCCTGTCCTTCATAACGTGATGGCCATGGTTCTGGGAGGCGGCTTTGAACTCTTAACATTACAGCAGCTGTTCAGGGTTTTGGAAGGTGTGATTCGGAAGAGTTGCAGGAAAGCACCGCTGGAACGAGATGCTCTTCCACGATGTGGCTCGGCTTTGTTGAAGGCATGCCCAGTTTCGGAGTTGAATCCCACACAAAATCAAGCACACCGTGCTGTGTCAGGTTAAAGCAGTCCAAAATCCTGCCTAAAAATCAGGTGCACCATGCCTTCCCGAACGCCGTCGGCACGCTGAGCCAGCGCGGCCGCTTTCACGGCTGGGAGAAGGCCCTTCAGCCCTTGTTGAAAGACCTTGGCATGTCCTATCTTTATCTTCTACTGCACGTCGTCGCCACAGACTATGAAGCACTTGAAGTGTGCGGTTACGTCAGCGACACTAAGCGCACCTTCCCCGCACCTCAAATCCAGGTTCATGATGCAGCTGCAGAAGTCCTGCACCGCGGGCTGTGGAAGCCCAACGGTGATGAGGACGCCCTGTCTCAGGAAGCTGCAGACTCTCCGCTCTCCCCTCGAAAAACCCAAACAGCAGAATGCTGCCATTGCTGGTGCTTGTTGCAGGTGCACAAGAGAGGTTGGCGGATCGAGTCTTCGATGTTTGTCTTTGCTGCTCAGGAGACCCAGATGCAGAAGACGCAGAAGAAGCGCTCCATGATGATGAAGCAGGGCAAATGAGATGCTCAGTTTTCGCTTCTGCCAGCATAGGGCTGCTCAGTTACGCTGGCAGCATGGTACAGAAGCCTCTCTTGTACAGGGCCTCTTGCGAAGGGCCTGGTTTGTACAGTACACCTCTGTGCGCGTGCCCTGCGGCACCCTTGAGGCCCGTCGAGTGGGCAGGCCCGTGTCGAAGGCACTGGCCATATCTGCTCACTCGCTTGCGCTCGGTTCGAGGCGTGTCAGGCAGCCTGGACAAGAGACTTTGCAAAAGCCTTCGTCAAGCTTTGCTGCACGACTTGACTTTGACTTGACTTCGGCATGGGGCAAGGTGCAACCAAGCAGGCTCCGGAGGTCGCGGCTTACGAGTGCCGTTCTCAGGCTTAGAGCCCTTGAACCCTTTTCGAGAGCTATTACTAGGCTTCCAGCTCAGAAGACGGCAGAGCAAAGGCCCAAGAGCGGCGGGATCCTCTCTGTCCTAGAGGTGCCTGGGGAGCTCGAGATGAAGCTGTTGAGATCACGTCGCCCCGCGAATCAGGTTAACAATGCACTTATAGACTAATAGCAATAATAATCGCAACAACAACAAATCAAAATCGTGGTCATGGTCTTCATAAAGAGGAATGATAGTACGCGTATAGAATAGTATAGACAAAGACTCATGCATTCATGGAAACGTGTTTCACATTCGCCTCGGCATGTTGTGACGCACGGCGTTTTGCAGATCCTTGTCTGTATTCTATGGATAAGACCTTAGCCTTAGACACTGTCAGTCACATTTGCTGAACAATCTATCTTTTCTTTGAGCCATGTGCGCATGCATTTACACATGTGTTGATCTTTACATAACTGTTTTTGATTGTTCGTATTCGAACAAGCATGTTAAGTTTACACAGACTGCTGCATGTCGGTACGCAGACCTCTTCCAGTGCACCAGTATGGATAAAGGTGGTATGTCTATATCATGTACTCATATTATTTTATGCATGTTCATTTGTACAACCAGAACTGTACGCTGCGCGGCAAGGTGATTAAACTCCCGTGCCCTTTGCGCGTTTCCCCTTGTGTACGTTGTTGATTTGTCTGCATGCATGTGTGTCTATGTACAGGTATGTGTACAGATCGGCAAACGGCTGCAAATGTTGTGACGATGCTGGGTAATGTGGGGGATTCCGAAAATAGGGGACCCTAATATAGTACCCTAAATAATACAATCCCTATTATAAGGACCCCAAAACAAGGTACCCTAATTTTCTGAAACTCCCCATGTTGCCTGGTGCTGTTCTGCCAGGACATGAAGACCAAGGCTCGCGAGAATCTGAACACCCTGGTCTCCGAGGAGCGACGTGGGAAGATTCCGGGTTTGAGGCATTGCGTTTATGCCCCAAAAGTTCCTAGTAAATCGTAGACAAGCCAACTCTGGTTTTGAGATTTTCAACACAAGGTCAGAGACGGCAGTGCTGAAGACTTTGCCGCTTCTGCAGTCATGTCGAAGCAAGGACAAGAAGGCTCAGCACAGCTTCGCCATGTTGGGGCCTCGCATCAGGGTTGCCCAGCATTGCACGCGGTGAGCTTTCTGATTGAAGAAAGGTGCTTGAGTTGTGCTGTAGGCATTCTCACTCATTCTCACTCCTTGCTTTCGCTTCTAGACATATTCATTTGTGCTCGTTTGCTCTCTCGTCTGTTTTATATCCGGTCTGCGTTGTTTCTTCCCGTGAGCTTTGCTGAGTGGTTGTAAAGTGGTTGTAAATATTGTCGGATTGAATAGGATTTAGATAATCGCGCTTGGCAGGGTACGGCGCTTGGAGTTTGGAGTCTGTCGCATTGAGTTCCGTCTTCTGGCACGTCCTCACGACAATCATGGCGCCTCCCCCTTGCAGTGGGCCATGAAGCACGAATTTGGGTGTAGCAGGTGTAGCTCACAGACTCAGAACCCTGGACTCAACCCTGAGCCCTGAAACCTCCCTCCAACCTTAACTTCCTTGAGCTCCCCAACGACAGAATCGTAGAGCTTGACCCCCAGCTGCAAAATAGAGACCCTACAGCTCTAGAAGACAACTGAGCCCCAAAGCAGAAGGAAGGTGTCCTATCCGTCCCACAAAGTGTGCATTGTGCCTTTCGCTCGTGATCAATGTTTGGGAGCCAAGGCTGCTCGTATTGCCCAGCCAGCCACAGCTCACCACTCATGCGCTCCATGCGCCATCCAAGCCGGCACAATTGGTCGTCAATTCAGCCCATCACTGACTGCATGAAACCCGGTGGCCAGACCGGGAAAAGGTTGGCCGCCACCACGTAAATGGAATAACAAACATATGAGCCGTCTGTCAGTTGCGGCACAAAGGGGGCCCCTTCCGATGAATGAAACTTCACGAGATGCGCTCCGGTTGCGGCAGAAAGGATTCCCTTCCGACGATGAACTTGTCGGAGTGACCCTGCAGTTGCAGCAAAGAGGAGGCCTAAGGAGGCCCTTCTTTGCACAGTGACGAATTACGGCACCAGTATGAGAAAAAAGAGGCATCCAGATGAGCTTCTGGTACCTCCAGTCGCAGTATATCACCAGCCGTTAGCAGTCGCAGTGAAGACAATCGCATTTTTAGTAATGCCGGTGTGCAGGCAGTATCTTGTGCGAAGCCGGGAACGTGGTTTCGGCCGAGCGACATGAGCGAAGGATGTCTGTGAGATGTTTCAAAACAGGGCTTCGGATGCTGAACACGCGGATGGAAACGGGCCCTCCGAAAACACCAAGCTCTAAACCCCTTCCTAGTGATCATCTGATACGGACCATGGCTTCGTCCCGAAGGCTGCAGCAGTCACTTCAGATGCAGATCGCAGCCGACAAGAAGGAGATGGAGCAGACCAAGGCACCCTGTGTACAATAAGAGGCTCTTGGCAAAGGTGAGGACACAAGGGGGTTTCGAGAGGGGGAGGGCTTCATAAGGATGCTATTATTCAGTTGCAGAGTAAGCACACCAAGTGTCTGGAGCACAATGTAATATCGAAGCATGTCATATCATGTCATATCATAACATATCATATCCTGTCATATCATGCCATGCCGTTGAATATCTGTCCGTGTAGCAGAAAGAAATCCAACATGCAAATAGTAGCATAGTATAATTTTGTATAGCATGATGTAACATAGTATACTATAGCCTAGTATGTTATAGTATGGGATAGTCTGGGACAGTGTAGTAGAGTTCAGTATATTGTAACTATAACGTAATGTACAGATATATCATATACTTCACACTATGCCATGCTATGCTAGTCCATATCATGCTATACTGTCCTTCACTATAAAGCAAGATAAGACAATTCAGTCTCATACAAAATAAGAAGGTATGATACAACGAGTATGTCATTTTCGAAGATGACAGTAAGTGTTAACATAATGTGTAGTGTATCATGACATATGACAACATGATATCTAATGCTAGAACCGCATGGTAAATTCCAGTTAGATATGATGCTGTCCAATGAAACAACTATGCTACACCGTACTATATGATGTTGTTATATGCTGTGATACAATATGCCATGCATGCCAGATGCCATTCTAGGCTACGCTTTGCTACGCTATGCTATGCCATACTAATCCACTGTGCTCTACCATTTACCATGTACCATATACATTGTACTACACACTTTGTTCTTTATGCTTTATACTTTATATCTGATCAAGTAATCTATACTCTCCCTATGGTATCTCTGTGGTAGACTCTTCATTTTAGACGCTCTTATACTATACTATCCTGAACCCTGAACCCTAAACCTTCAGCCCTAAACCCTAAACCCTAAACCCTAAACTCAACCCTAAACCCTCAACCCTAAACCCGAAACCCTAAACCCTAAACCCTCAGCCCTAAACGATCCTGTGGCCAGGCTGTGAAGGCCGAGGCCTCCGAGAGCAAGGCCACCGCAGAGGGCGACCTCTCGGGCTCTGAGAAGGACGGGATATGGGTCAGGGTCAGGGCTTGGGCTTAGGGCTTTAGGGCTTGGGCTTTAGGGCTTAGGGTTTAGGGCTTAGGGTTTAGGGTTTAGGGTTTAGGGTTTAGGGTTTAGGGTTTAGGGTTTAGGGTTCCTATGAGAGTTCCTCTAAGGGTTCCTATAAGGGTTCCTTTGAAGGCTCTATAAGGGTTCCCTTAAGGGTCAGGGCTTGGGGCCCTTTTTGCTGCAAGAATACTGCAATGTTGCAAGAACATGAATAGTATGGATAGTAACGTTATATTGCTATTATGATAATACTCCTACTCCTACTCCTACT